TATTCTTGTCGGTAACTTTAACTCATGCTTAATGCGTCATATTTATTTTTTTTATTCCAGGCATTATATATATATTTAAAAAAAAATCAAAACTTTCAAGTTTGATGATTTGCCCATAAATTTTAATATTTATATTTAATTGATCAAAAATTTAATTTTCACAAATGACTTGAAAAAATCTCCATAAGTCTTCATGTTAAAAAAAAGAAAAACATATATTTAAATATTTTAAAAAAATATATTTCAGCCTAAATAAACCATGGGCGCCCCTTGACTTTTGAGTTTTGACTGAACGTTAGCGTATGATTGAAGGTCGAGGAAGGATGAGTCGTAATTTCTTGCAAAATTCCCGTAGATCGAGGATTCCATCGCCATCAATACGTAAACTTCAATGCCCAGTTCTCTCAATTCCGTGTCATCCATATATATACATTTCACTTTCAAGCTTGGAAGATATTTAATTTCTTTAACATTCATATTTGTTATTTTCTTTTTTTCTTTTTTTTTTTTTAAAGTTGTCATAATCATCTTTTTATTTTATGTAAATTAATTTTTACTTTTTTTTTAAAGTTGTCATAATCACATTTTTATTTTATGTAAATTCATTTGATAATTTTTTATAATAAATTAATAATAATTAAAATTTTTTATCAATAATTTAAATAGTTTAATGATCATTTTTTTTTCTTATAAATAAAATATTTTGAATTCAAATTACATAACATGTAAATGAGATGAGATAAGGGATGTGAAATGATTTTCTCTCATTATACAACTAAGATAAAAAAATAATAATTAAAATTTTTTAAGCGAAATAGTTAATAAGAATTTTGTATTAAAAATTCAATTATAATTTATTTGTTATATAAAATAATTATATAATTAAAATTCATATAAAATTCAAACTAATACAATAAAATTAGATGAGATGAAATATTCTGCCATAAAAATCTTGTGAAAATAGGTGGTATGTGATAGTATATTAATTTTGACTCTTAAAATTTTAGCTTTTATAATTTTGATTAGTACCGACAAAAAGTTTTATAATTTTGAGAAAGTCATTTGAATTATAAAACTAAAAAAATTTAGAGTCCAAATTTGATTAAACGATATTCTTCAATAACTTATTAAATTTTAATTTTTTCTACCGATTTAAAAACTTAACTTGAATTAAAAAAAAAAAAACTGTAAAATTTTTTTGAACAAATAAAAAAGCTTAAATTTTAGGTAGAAAAAGCTACGTCTTCTCAATTTTGGATTACCATATATTGAGTCAACCAGATAGCTATTATTATTATGTTTTTTCCTCGTGTTTTTTAGTCGTTACAGACATTTGGGTTTCAACTGCCCCCGTTGAATCCTAATCGCAAATTTAATAGATAAATAAAATCATTAGTCATTGGAAAACTGCTGTGAACCCTTCTTCCTTTTTTTTTTTTTTTTTTGGTAAACACCGTTTACACCCTTTCTCATGATTGAGTCACAAGGTTCTACCTTTTTTTTTTTTTTTTCCTGAGTTTGAAACTTCAAAAGGAAAATTTCGAGTATTTTTTTTTTATAACAAATTCGTAAAAAATTGGATTCGAACTGTTACCTTGAAATGAAAGAATGCACTTATATGTGACATGACATTAGTAGATCCGAAAGCTTAAATGCGAGTATGTTTTCTTTTTATTTTTTTTGAATGATAAGAATGAGATTCAACCTCATATTTTTATATTTATACGAAAAACTCTTAATAAGAGAATAGTGACTATTAAGTCATTAGAATATTCTCAAATTTCTAAGTATGTTGATAATAATAATCAACATAAAACTCATACATCACCAATAAAACTATGATTTAAAGTAACATATTTAAAATTTAAAAATTATCATCAATTACACAAATATTATGTGGCTCAATTATAACTTTACAAGGCAATGTCCAAAAGAAAATGTTAGAAGTGTTGCTAGCACTCTCCCTAATCCCACATCATAATACAACCTTGATCTGTTAACAGATTAAAAGCATATAAGTAAAATATTAACAAACTATTTGTTTGTTAATTTAATATTAACACTTACAAGCACAAAATAGCATGGTACGGTGATTAATAATAAAAATAACTATTATTCTTTAATTTTATTGATTGAAAATAACAATTTAAAGGTATGATTTTTTTTTTATAGAAATGATACATATGTAGATTGTAGTAGCTCTATTTCTTAATTAAAAAAATCTTTTCAATCAATAGTTTCGACTTTTTAACCTAAAAACTAATCACTTATATTTTTAAATAATTTTTTTTATAAATAAAAAATTTTCAAATTGTAATTAATAGGAAACTGAAAACGTTTAGTGACCATTTTGTTTATGAGTTCGGTGATCTTGATTTATAAAAAAAAGGGGTAGACATTGATTAAGACATACACAATTAATAAAATGTGTAACGGAAATATTAATTTCAAAAAAGTTACTCCTACATTTATAACATTCACAATGAAGATATATAAAACAAAAAATTATCTATATTAAATTACACAATAATAATTATTTAATAAAAAA